TTATTTGAGAAAGAGAGAGAGTCTGGGTGAGCAGGGACAAGAACAGAGCAGGAGGGAGAGAGATGAGCAGACTCTACACTGAGCATGGAGCCCAGTGTGGGACTGAATCCCAGGATCATGACCTGAAACCAAGAGTCAGATGCTTAACTGACATAGCCACCCAGGTGCCCCTGGAGCCCTGCCTCTTATACATTGTTGGTGACGATACAAAATGGTACAGCCACTCTGAAAAACAGTTTGGTAACTTCTTATAAAGTGAAACATACGTCTACCCCATTACCCAGAAATTCCACTCCTAAGTATTCACCCAAGAGAAATGTAAATATATGCGTACACATGGGTGCACACACACACACAAAAGCATACATGTAAAAATGTGTATAGCAACTTTATTCATAATAGTCCCAAACTGGAAACAATCCAAATGCCTATTAATGTTGAGTGGATCAACAAATTGTAGTATTTCCATATAATGAGTATATTTCCACGTATTCAGCAATAAAAAGAAAGAACTATCTGTACACGCAACAATCTCTGAGTATCTCAAAGGCAGTGTGGTGAGGAAAAGAAGTCAGACACAAAAGACTTACTATCCAATTCCATTAGCAAAGTTCAAGAACAGGCAGAACTTATCTACAGGGACAGAGAGCAGAGCAGTGGTGTCTAAGGCAAAGCTGGGGGTGCAAGGGGGCACAAGGGATGGCAATGGGAGATGGAAATGTGTCGTATGTCAACTGTGGTGGGGGTAAAATGAATGTATATATTTGTCAAACTCACCAAGCTATACACTTAAAATGGGTATGTTTTATTGTTTATAAAATATACCTCAATAAAATTGATTTTAAAAAAAGGAAAAAAACCTCAAGAGAAGCATCACTGTATAGCAATAAAAGAAACTGAAAGGAACCTAAATGGAAAACTACAAGGCAGCAAACATGGATGAACGAGATTGAGCATATACATCAGTACAGACAAAGCTCACTAACATAAGATTGAGTGAAAAAAAAATAGGTTCCAGAAGAATACATGCAGTATAATGATTTCTTTTTTTTTTTTTTTTTAAGGATTTTATTTATTTGACAGAGAGAGAGAGAGCACAAGTAGGCAGAACAGCAGGGAGAGGGAGAGGAAGAAGCAGGCTCTCCACCGAGCAGGGAGCCTGACATGGGGCTCGATCCCAGGACCCTGGGATCATGACCTGAGCTGAAGGCAGCTGCTTAACCGACTGAGCCACCCAGGCGCCCCAATTTCTATTTAAAATTTTATCACATGTAGGGGTGTCTGGGTGGCTCCACTGGTTGAGCTTCAGACTCTTGATTTTGGCTCAGGTCATGATATCAGGGTTCTGGGTTCAGCCCCTCCTCAGGCTCTGCTCTCAGCGAGGGGTCTGCTTAAGGATTCTCTCCCTCTCCCTCTGCCCCTCCCCCTGCGTGTGCTCTCTCTCTCTCTCAAATAAATAAATAAATCTTCTAAAAAATTAAAAGCAGGGAGAGTAATACTGCATAGGGTTGTAGTGGGTTTTAAAAAGAGTGGATGAAAAGCACAGAACACAATCTTGAGATTACAGTGTTATCCATAAATGTGAGTTCTCCCTGCTCACCCCTCCCTCCTATAGTTTCTTTCCCTTGTGGTATTGGAGACTCTGGTCCCCGGACTCAGTTGGGGAGGAAGGATTTGGTGGTACAGGACTCTGATCAGTTACTGGCTGTGTGGGTTTGGGTAAATCACTTAACCTACCTGAGTCTCAGTTACTTTGCAAGATGGGAAGAATAACACCTATCTCAAAGGAAGTTTTCAAGGACTATATGACATACAAGATGGGAAACTACCAGGTATTTAGTAGGGTTACAGTAAGTGCCTGCAAGAAGAACAAGCATTAGAGTAGGATTTAGGCCAAAAGAGCTAGAGGATTTTAGCATAGGCTCCACAGAGCTCAAGGGCTCCATGGTTAGAGTTCAGGGGGGTGGTCCATAAACTTGTAATGGGTAAAAATTACATCCTGTTTTCACTAACCTGTAATTGGAATTTAGTATTTCTTTCTGTCATGCAGGTAAGCAACAAATCACAGTACTATTCAGCAGTACCTGTGACTCTGTCACCAATAGAAATCATAGTTTCGTATTATATTACAATAGCAATATCTTGAAGATACTGTTTACACTCATTCACCACCTCAAAATTACAATAGCTAATAGACCAATCTCTAGATCTTGCTATTTAATGTTTAAGAAACAACATTCATAAAATAAATATACTTTTAAAGATTTTATTTATTTATTTATTTGACAGAGAGAGCACACAAGCAGGGTGAGCAGCAGAGGGAGAGGGAGACACAGGCTCTCCGCTGAGCAAGGAGCCCAATGTGGGGCTCGATCTCAGGACCCTGGGATCACGACCTGAGCCGAAGGCAGACACTTAACTGACTGAGTCACCCAGGCGTCCCATAAAATAAGTATTTTTAAAAAAATATTTTGAGGGGTGCCTGGGTGGCTCAGTCGGCTAAATGCCTGACTTCAGCTCAGGTCATAATTTTGGGGTCCTGGGATCAAGCCCCACATCAGGCTGCGTGCTCAGCAAGGAGTCTGATTGTCCCTCTCTCTCCCTCTGCCCCTCCCTCTGCTTGTGCTCTCTCTCCCTGTCTCTCTCTCTCAAATAAATAAATAAAATCTTTAAAAATATTTTGATAATGATTCTATATAACTGGTATTCTTGTTATCCTAAGTAATTTACTTTTTGTGGTTAAAAGTACTCTTCTGAATAGGGGTCCATAAGTCTTCATCAGACCGCCAAGGAACCCTTGGCTATACAGACCTGGGTGCTTCCTGCCTGGGCCATTGACTGTTGTGTGACACTGGGTTTGTTATTTTTCAGGGGCACAATCATCCCTGCTTGGCTCACCCCACAGGGTTGTTGGGAGGAACAAATTAATTCTTGGCTGGGAAAGGGTTCTGGAAACTGCTGGCAGCTTCACAATTTTCCCAAAAGTCAGAGCAGAGTGCTTTCTACCTCCCAGCTAAACCCTGTCTCCAGGAGACCTCTCTCCTTTCCACAGGATTTCCACTCCGCCCCCTTTACTTTCCATCTGGTAAAGAGGCCAAAGTGCACCTTCATTAGGGTATGCCATCCAGCCTCCAGGTGCACAGCTCAGTAGAAAGGTTTTCTGGGGGACAGTAACAATTCCCTCCAATTTTCATATTTGACCTTATAGTGACCCTTGAGGACACTACCCCCTCAAAATTCTTCCTCTCTCCTTCAGACAGTGACCACTCTGCAGCCATCGTCCCCACATTTCCCCTTTCACTGCCCTGTCCTATGATCATCTGTGTGACTCCTCCACCATACTGTGTGTTTCTCAAGGGCAGACCCAGATCTGACCCCTCTCAGGGACTCCAGTGCTCAGCTCAAAAGCATGGCACACATTAGCATCTTAGAAGCTGGCCAAATGATGAAAGGTAACCTGAAACAGAGAGAAAAATCGGGGAAGGGGGAGAGCTAGGGTTTGAGTCCAGATTGCCTGATGCCCATGTTTATGCCACACACACCCAAAGCAAAGAATGGAGAAACTGGGGAGTCCCAAGGCATCACAATAACGATTTCCTACTCTACCTACTCCTGTAAAAATTAGAAGAGCTAAAGATCTTGTCATCTTAAGCTAGCCCCTGCCCATCTGTCCAATGAGAAATTCAGTGGTTTTCAAACCTTTTTGACCTGACTCAAAAGAAATGCACTTTACATTGTGATCTGGTCCATAATACATACATACATACGTAACTGAAATAAGCATTTTATGAAAGAATACTTAGCTTTACTATCCGCAGTGCACTTTTTCTGTTCCATTTAATTATTCTTTTTTATTTATTTATTTATTTATTTATTTTAAGTAGGCTCCACGCCCATCATGGAGCCCAACACTGGGCTTGAACTCACCACCCTGAGATCAAAACCTGAGCTGAGATCAAGAGTCTGACAACGGACTGAGATACCCTGGCATTCCTAATTACTATTTTTTAGAGCTAGCTGTGACTGATTAATTGGTTACATGTCCCACAGGTCTTTTTCAGTCCCAATACCCTGTGACTAGCTGAATGGGATATAAAATGGGACAACTAGGGGCACCTGGGTGGCTCAGATGGTTATGCATCTGCCTTCAGCTCAGGTCATGATCTCTGGTTCCTGGGATGGAGCCCCACCTTGGACTCCTAGATTAGCAGGGAGTCTGCTTCTACCTTTGCCTCTCCCCCTGCTCACACACTCTCTCTCTCACAAATGAATAAATAAAATCTTTAAAATTTTTTTTAAAAAATGGGATAACTAAAGCTCAGGAGTCTCTAGTCCTGGATCAATGCAATTGGGGAAAGCTGTGTACCTCTCAAAGCCTCGTTTCCCCACTGTACCCTGAGAGGACAGGCAATTTCTAAGGGCCACATATGGCCCCTTCAGACTGTGATCCCCTAACCCTAGTGAGAACACTGCTCTTGTGATCTGGAAATAATTTCTGAGAGTGGAAAGGTGTGCCGGCTTTGCTTCCTGGGGGTGGGGTTCCATTTGGGACATCATGTAGCCCCCTTGTCCTAGGCCAGGGTGGCAGGGAGTCTTAACAGAAGTGTGAATATGTCAGTACGAGTTAGCGGCTCAGGGAAGGAAGAGACAGACAGGCCAGGAAGCCAAAGGTTTAAAACTCCACTGGAGGGATGCCTGGCTGGCTCAGTTGGTGGAGGGAACGACTCTTGATCTCAGGGTTGTGGGTTGGAGGTTACTTAAAAATAAAATCTTAGGACGCCTGGGTGGCTCAGTCGGTTCAGCACCTGCCTCCTCTCAGGTCATGATCCCAGTGTCCTGGGGTCCAGCCCCTCCTCCCGTCTGCTTCTCCCCCCTCCCCCCACTCCCTACACAACGGTGAGTCTCCTTCTCCCTCTGCCCCTTCCCATCCTCCCCCCTCCGGCTCGTGCTCTCTCTCAAATAAATAAAATCTTAAAAAAAAAAAAAAAGTCCACTGGAAAAGAGGCACAGTGAGAACCCCAGAAAGAACAAGGGCTTGGGGACTAGACAGACCCAGGTTAAAATCCCACGGACTTGAGGACTGGGGGAAATGACCTCTCTGGCACTTAGCTCTCATTTATAAAATGGGTTTGAAAATCCCTGGCCCTCTGGGTTGGTGTGAAGGCTAAGTGAAGTAGTGTACTAATCATCCCATACCTGACCCCGCGGTGTGGTCGCCGGCTGGCCGCTTGTGCCCCGCACTAGCCTGGGCCGGCCCCGAGACTGCCGGCGTCGAGCACAGCGCCGAGCACCAGCAGGGTGCTCAAGGGCAGCTGTGGAATCCGCGGCGGTGGCTTCGATTCCCGCCCTGCCACCTCGGACACGTCTTGTAGTCTCTCTGCGCACTCAGCACCCTCGTGCATAAACTGGGAACGCGGTGAGACGGGTGGGGGAAGCGCAGGACAGACTCGCGCCCAGGAGGCTCCGCCGGGTAGCTCCCTCCTTTCGGCTCCGCGGGTCGCCCTCCCATCCGGTCCCCCCGCCTCGCGCTCGCGCTCCGGCGCCCGCTCCCCCCCCCCCCCGCCTTCCCGCCACTCTCCACTCCCACCGCTCCTCCGCTCTCCACCTCCTCTCTTTCCTCCTCCTCCTCCACATGCCCTCCCGCCGCGCCCGGTCCGCGTACCTGGTCGCCTTTCCCGGTCCTCAGGGACTCTAGGTCTCTCACTGCTGCGTCTCCGCGCCTCTCGCCGCGTCCCTCTGTCGCGCTGCTTCTCTCTGCTTTTTCTCTCCCTCAGTCGCTGTCTTTCCCCGGCTTAGTTCTGTCTCCGTCCGTTCCTCGCTCGCCCGGCCGTCTGGCGGCCCGAGGTGGCGGCGGGCCCGGCGCGGGGCGCGATGAGCGACGCTTGCACGAGCTACGTGAGCGCAGAGCAGGAGGTGGTGCGTGGCTTCAGCTGCCCGCGGCCTGGGGGCGAGGCGGCCGCCGTCTTCTGCTGCGGCTTCCGCGACCACAAGTACTGCTGCGACGACCCGCACAGCTTCTTCCCCTACGAGCACAGCTACATGTGGTGGCTCAGGTACCGGCCGTGGCGCTAACCCTAGCCAGAACCCCACTCCAGCCTTAGCCCCTCACCGCACCCTCAGTCCAGCGCGTGCTAAACCCTCAGTCCTCACCCACGTGCCCACCCCAGCATCAGCATCGACCCGCACCCGCCCTTTAGCCCTTCAGGCCCAATACTGACCTTTGCTCTCACCAAGCCAACTCCCTCTGTAACCCCTTCCCCCATCCTGACCTGAACCATTATTCAGATCCAAACTTGAACCTCACCCCCAACTCCACTGGAGAAACTTCAGTCCATCCCTACTCCCAGTGTCATCCTCTGCCACCCTGAACCCAGCCCCACATTACACACCAACCCTCTCCCTGACACAATACTCCCATCTCCCACATTACAGGAAACCCAAACTCTACCCTAATCCAAGAGCTCACCAGGGTCCCCATCCTAATATTAGCCTGACCTCATCCCTGACTTTACTCACTCCCCAGTCAATATCGATCACCAGCCCCAACCCCCCCCCCCCCCCCCCGAGTCCTCAAGGCAACCCACCTTGACTCCAAACATGGTCTATCCCTACACCCAGACCTCAGCCCCAGGTCTTACTCCTCACCTCATGCTACACCCCAAGTCAATCCCAGCCTAGCTGAGGCTCAACCCTTTCTTCCTCCTATTTAGTCATTCTTTCAGCTACCCCTTACTGAGCACTTAGCTGTGCCAGGCTGGGGGTGGGTACTGGGGATCTACTCTACTCCTGAGCTAAAGCAGAGGACCAAGGAATCAGAGCTGCATGCAATGTCATAATGCCACAGCAGAAGCCAGCTCAGTATAGATTAATAGAAGTGTAATTTGGGTGAATCCCCACCCAAAGGACCTCAGTTTCCCTGCCTGTTCAAGAAAGGGGGTGGATAGGCCAGTGTTGACAGTCCTGGAACCAAGAATGGTGCTGAGAGGGCAGTGGGTCTCAGTTCCTAGCCGTCTCCAAAGGCCTCACCCAGAAAATAGGACCCGAGCCTGTGCCTGCTCTGGGAAATAGGTATTGGCAAAAATGGAGTGGGCCATCTCAGTAGACAGTGATTTTCCTGTTCCTGGAGGTATATGACCAGAGGCTGCATACCCTCTGGGTGGGAAAGGACATTCTGCCAAAGAAACCTCTCTGAGCCTGTCTTTATAACTGTCAAATGAAGAGGATGATAAATGATTGCCCTGATTTCTGACTAGGACCAAAGAGATAAAGAGGTGAAATCAACTTGACATATGCCACTGACAATTATAGATAATCACTTTTTCTAGACTGCTCAACCTGTAATTCTTTTTTTTTTAATTTTTTTTATTTACTTATTTGACAGAGAGAAACACAGCGAGAGAGGGAACCACAAGCAGGGGGAATGGGAGAGGGAGAAGCAGGCTTCCCGCTGAGCAGGGAGCCTGATGCGGGGGCTCGATCCCAGGACCCCGGGACCATGACCTGAGCCGAAGGCAGACGCTTAACGACTGAGCCACCCAGGCTGTAATGAGCCACCCAGCCACCCTCAACCTGTAATTCTAAAACTATTTTCAGATGGCCAGGTTTTCCAGTCCTGCACATTCGGCTGCTATCTGTAACTGAGGATTTAATTTATTCTCTATTCAACCCTATATTCATTCATTCCTTATAGCCTTTGCTTTGTGCCAGGTGCTATGCTCAGCAATAGGGAGACAAAAATTAATTATTCCCTGTCCCTGAGGAGCTCATCATCCATTCAGAGAGATATGACATATACCTAGAGTATAACAATGGAGTATTTGCTGAAGACCCACTGTGTACTTAACACTGAGCTGGGTGCTGAAATATGGTAGCACTGACCTCCCTTAGAGGTATAGAGACAGTGTAGAACTTTGGGGCTGATTAGAACCCAGTCAGTCCAAACCGTGGCTCTGTCACTTAATAGCTATGTGAATTTGGCCAAATTATCTCCAAGGCTCTTTTCTCATCTTCAAAATGGCAATCGTACTACCTGTCTCGTGGAATTGTTGTGAGGATTAAGTGAAATAATGCATGTGAAAGTGACTAGTACATACTATATGTCCTCATTAGAAGGGAGTTTCTTTCCCTGCTTCACAGGTGGGAAAGTGAATCTGGGAGTACAAAAGTGAATTGTCCAAGATCTTCTAGCGATGCCTTTATAGACTGAGATTTAAAGAACATCACCTAGGACGAACCAAGAGTTAGATGTATTCACACGTTCACAACCCTGGCATGTCTTCTGTCCATTTTACAGATGAGAAAACTTGAAAGCAGTTAAGTTAATCTCTGGTAAGGCCCTGCTGAGAGCAAGTGGCAGAGCTGGGATGAAAACTCAGGCCTGTCTGGCCAAAGTCCGGGCTTGTCCTGTGGCACAACTGTCTAAATCTAGCCTGGCTCTCTCATAACCCCCTTCACTCAGATCATTTGAAAAGACACTCATTGACCCTCTACTATCTTCTGGGCACTGTGCTGGCCCTTGGAGACACACACCCCCTCAGCACCTAGCCAAGATCCCCTCCCTCTTCTAACATCTCCTTCCCTCTAACACCCCTGTGGTCCCTCCTGTTGCCTTCGCCCCTCGTGATATGTGGAATGCTTTAGTGGCTCAGACAATGAGGTGGAGGGTTGGATGGGGTGACCTCTGAGGTCACATCACATGTCAGTGTGCTCCCGTTCTGTGGCCTCAAGGGCAGTGGGAAGGTTTAGCCCGCAGGGCTGACTTTTCTTAGGCTTGGACATAACATGGTTAAACATCACAGACTTTTCTTAGGCTTGGACATAACATGGTTAAACATCACAGACCAGTTACAAAGTGGAGGAGAGGACCGGAGGGTCCCCCAGGACATCTAGGTAATCAACGTACCTTAAACCCTAAAACAACCCTTCTAGAGTGCTCCATTGCAGGGTGGAGACCTTGTTTTGCTCTCAACTCCATTTGGCCTTTTTCATGAAAGTTGGTCCTTAAAAATATAAGATCTCCAGGTAAACAACTGTTTCCTTGGGTAGTGCTCAAGGAGAACTGCTGTCTTTAAAAGTGTGTCTCAGGAAGTGAAGACTCCCTGTGGAGAAGCAGCTGGTGCTATCACATGTCTGGTCCACTTTCCGAACACCCTCTATTAGCAGCTCTGTTTTTTACCAGGATGTGAGCCAAAAGGCAGCAGCCTTGCTGCAGGGCAGAATCGGTTGTCAGGCACTGTGTGTTGTACACCACCTCATTTAATCTTTAGGGACACCTGGTGAGATAGGAACCTTTACAAATGAAGAAAATGAAGATCAAGAGATGAAGGATTTTTCAGTTTATATATGACAGAACCCAGTTCTCTCCCAGGGGTCACAGTGTGTTATCTCTCTGAGAGTTATGGATCTGTGAACTCCTAGAAGGCTAGCAGCTCTTCAGTTTCCCACCCAGGGCAGGAAACTCTAACTTCACTAAAAAGTGTACTCATCCCGGTATTCTTTTTTTTTTTTTTTAAGATTTTTTATTCATTGATTTGACAGAGAGAGACACAGCAAGAGAGGAAACACAAGCAGGGGGAGTGGGAGAGGGAGAAGCAGGCTTCCCTCGGAGCAGGGAGCCCAATGCGGGGCTCTATCCCAGGCCCCTGGGATCATGACCTGAGCTGAAGGCAGACGCTTAACGACTGAGCCGCCCAGGCACCCCTCATCCCGGTATTTTTTACAAACCCGTGCAATAATAGAAAACTTACCACCTCTCAAGGCAGTCCATTCACCTGGGGACAACTCTAATCATTTAAAGTTCATCTTCGGCCAAGCACAGATGTTTCCCCTTGGAGCTGCCTGGGTTGTTCCCAGCTCTGTCCTTGGGCCCTGATTCCTCTGTCCCCAGAGAGACCATCAGAGACAGCGCCCGCTCCCTGTCTGACTGCTAATCTGGGATATCTCCTGCCAGCTCTCTCACCCATTCCTCAAAGGACCTTCTTTTTAGAGGGCCCTTTCCATCCAGGTGGCCACAGAGGTACCATGTAAAGTGTGGGAGCCCAACTGGAGCCCAAGTCTTCCAGATAATAGCCTTATAAACAGCATATCTCAAAAGGGGAAATAATGTTTGATTAAAGTACTTATAAGAACTAAAAGGTACTGCATGCTCAATATGGAAAATGTGGAAAGGACAGAGGAATCATGGGAGATCCAGTGTCTTAGCTTGGATTCCCCAAAAGACTTAGAAACAAGGATTTGAGGGCAAGTGGTTTTTATGGAAAGCCATCCTAGAAAACACGGGTTGAGCGTGGCAAAGTGAGGCAGGGAAGGGTAAGAGCAAATGATAGTGGGTCACCACTGAGGGTCACTGGAACTTATGCCCGCCCATGTAGAAATTACACCTCAGAGTCATCCCACCTGAGGGCCAGGAAACTGGGTATTCACACACAATCTGTGTCAATCATTGGTTCTGTGTCGATGGGAGAAGGGAGGCATTAATTTTCCTGCACTTCTCACCTGCTCAATGTACAGATGGAGACTGTTCTGGACCCAGAGAAAACCCTCAGGCCAAGGGATATAGATGCTGGCATTTGAAACTCTGGCCAGAATATTCTACAATTACAAGACCCCATGGGACACGGACAGGACATCCACAGCCTCCACTACAACCAGAGACAGCCTGTTAGCATTTTGGTGTATTTCTATCCAAACTTACATATGTATAATTATGTTAAACATATTTTAACATATGTATAAATATGTTAAACATATGTATATGTTTATTTAAATTGGAATTATGTTATATATTTAGTATCATGTCCTACTCTTTTCACTTAGCATTATCTCATCAGAACTTATCCTTGATCTTTTTTTATTTTATTTTTTAAATATTTTTATTTATTTGAGAGAGAGAGAGCACGCACAAGCAGGGGGAGAAGCAGGAAGAGGGAGAGGCAGACTCCCTGCTGAGCAAGGAGCCCGATGTGGGACTCGATCCCAGGGCCCTGGGATCATGACCTGAGCCAAAGGCAGACGCTTAACCAACTGAGCCACTCAGGCGTCCCTATCCTTGATCTTAAATATTATTTGAAAACATGTTTTTAATGGCGCTAAACTATTCCATTGCAGGGGTGTTCAATAATTTATTTAGCCATGGGAAGACAGATTTTCCAAAGCTCTAAGGTGATTCTGCTTAGTGGAACTTAGCTATCAACTACCTGGGAAATAAGTCACCAGCTAGCTGGGAGCAAAATCTGGCAGAAGTGGCAAGGGCAAGAGTCTGGGGGTGGGGTCAGGGCGAGGGGTGGGCAGAAAAGCTGGTGAAGAAGTCATAGACAGGAAGGGCACACAAACAAAGCCTGCTACTTACCTATCCACTACTGTTGGGAGAATATCTTACAGTGCCTGACACATAGTAGGTACTCAGTAATATTTACTAAATGCTTACTATGTGCCAGGGCTTCTGCAAGGGGAGGACAAAGCTGATTATTTATGGTCTGATTCTGCCTTCAAGAAACACATGAGGAATATGTTGAACACCTACTATGTGTCAAGAATATTACATATATTAGTCATCCTTACTACCTCCTGTGAAGTACTGTGTTTTGGGTTTTTTTTTTTAAGAGTTTATTAACAGAGAGAGCGCACACAAGCAGTGGGGAGCAGCAGAGGGAGAGGGAGAAGGGGACTCCCCGCTGAGCAGGGACTATGGGATCATGACCTGAGCCAAAGGCAGACGCTTAACTGACAGAGCCACCCAGGTGCCTCTGTGAAATACTGTGTTTTGATCATTTTCACTTTTCAGACAAAGAAGCTGAGGCTCAAAATGTATAATAACTTCATCAAGATCTCAGAGTGAGTTGTTACATATCTGGGTCCTAACCCAGGTAGGTTTGGTTCCAAAGCCCTTTGCTCTTTCCTGCCACATTGGGCTGCCTGACTCAGAGGGAAGTGCTAAAGGCCCTGAGGGAAGTGTCCTGGGTGGATTAGCCTGGCATGGGTGGGCAAAGGAGAGAGAAAGATGGCCAAGGAAAGCATTACTGAGGTCAGGAGACATTTGAGATGGGCCTTCAAGGACAGGTAAAACTCTAATGTGGGGAGATGATAGGGAGGAATCATATGAAGCAGGAAAGACAGTGACTCCCAAATGAGCCAGGAGGTAGTCGTCTGGAGACCAGGTGACCAGGGCCTGACTTGGGGCAGAGGTGGCAAGGTTGGAGGGTGAGGGAACAGCAGTGGGGAGGTCTTCTAAACATGGAGTCCACACTGGCGTGATGACCCAGTGGAGGGTGAGTCGGAAACTACCTGGAAGGAGGTTGGAAGGACAGCTGGTTTTTAGCTAAGGCCTACTATGTGTCTTGATTTTTAAGAAACAGCATCATGGGGAGGGCTCTTTAAGACCATCTCCAGCTCCCTGGGGTGGGGATGGGGGGGGTGGGATGCACGTTGAAGAAAGTAGGGAGGGAAGGAGAAAACAGGAAGGGGAACACAAATTGATTCCCAATTATGTGGTGGCACTGACGCAAGTCGTGTTACATATGTGGTGAGTCCTGGGCACACAGCTAATGCTCTGTCTCATGCTTAGGCCCAAACGGCCTAAGGCAAGTAGAGACAGAACAAAAGTTGAAGCCAGCCTATGCCTATAACACCGACAACACTTCACGTCTAACGGGTTGCCTCCAAAGTCCCCTCCCGACACTCAGCTCCCTCTGGTCTTCTCTCCCCAGCATTGGCGCCCTTGTGGGCCTGTCCATAGCAGCAGTGGTTCTCCTGGCCTTCATCGTCACCGCCTGCGTGCTTTGTTACCTGTTCATCAGCTCTAAGCCCCACACGAAGTTGGACCCAGGCTTAAGCCTCCAGCCTCCAGGTAAGAAACAGACCTCATGATTTCCTTGTAGTAAACAGGCTAGCACCTTTACAGAGGGGGGGATATTTTGATGATGTTTGGAACATTTGCCTCACGAGAGTTCCTAGAATATTCCGAAGCAGCAGCGCATTTTTTTAGGAGGTTCATGATCTGAACATTTTCATCCCAAACTCTTCATGTGCTCAGTGTTTATCAAAATAACTTGACATAGTCAGCATTCTATTTGTCACACAAAGATTAATCCATCTTGTGGATTTTCTCAGACTGTGTTTTCAAATTCTAGCCTTAGGGAATGAAAACTGATTTTAATATTATCCCAAACAAAATAGAATTAATAAGCAAAATTTGCTGCTCTCCAGCAATTTGTTCAGAAATTAAGTACAGTTATTTTTCGACAATCTGAATTGCTGGACTACCCCCTCCTTCATTATTAATAAGCATAGGCCCTCTAGAGCCTCAAAAGGCCCCCCTGCCAAAAGGGTTGCTTTTTCATAAGTCTTTATTGCACACATTTTTACAAACTCTGCAAGGTACTGTGAAAGATACAAGTGCCTACTGGCAAGTGATCTTTCTCTGTAGTTTGGTAGACAACACTCAAAATGAGTATTATTATCTCCATTTTACAGATGAGAAAAATCAAGGCTAAGACAGATTAGATGACTTACTCAAAGTGTCACAGCTAATAAATTGTAAGGCTAAAATTCAGCCTCTGTTTTTCTACCTTGAATCATGTTCTTTCTTCTGCCTACCACACTGGGTCTGTGCAGATACATAATTAAGTACAAAATTGTTTAATACCAAGTGTAAGGAGAATTTCAAAAAGGAGAGTAGATTTGAATGAGTGCTGAATTAGCAAAGGAGTTTGTTGAGTAAAAGGAGAAAAGGCATTCCAGGATAGGATAAATAATGGGTAAAAGTGTGTGGGCAGTTCTGAGTAAGACCTATGCAGTGACTGAGTCATTCACCCTGGGGCACCATAGGAAATAAGGCCAGGCAGGAATTTAAGCTAGGCAGAAGAAGCAGGGTGGCAATTAGAGCAGTAGAAAGGTGGGTAGTAGCTAAATTTCAGAGAAAGACAGAGAGGGCTTTTTTAGTTGTAAAACATTAGTTTTCCAACTTGACATCAACTTGTGCAACAAACAACAGCACAAGGACCCTTCTCAGATCCTGGTGACAATAAATAACCCTGCTGTGGCTGAGCACTGAAAAGCAGGAGGGATGGCTTTTGAGGGTAGAAGGATTCTTCTGGTTCGCCTTGTAGTCAGGAACCTGGGAAGCAGTGGCTAGGGCACAGGAAGAAAGCCTGAGCATAGATCCAGACAGCCCAGGGAGACCAGACACAGCCCAGGCTTCAACTTTTATAGAGAAAAATCACAGAAGTTAATGAAAGGCATAAAAGAACCTATCTCATGAGATATGGCATGTATGTGGATAGAAGGCTCAATATCATAGACATACCAGTTCTCCCCAAATTAATTTATAAATAAAATTCCCAATAAAACATTTCATGGAATTTGTCAAATTAGTTCTAAAATTAATCTAGAAGAGTAAAAGTGCAAAACAACTTTGGAAAAGAAAGAGGAGGGACTTGCCCTATCAGATAACAGACATTTTTAAAAGATTTAAGAATTGTCCGCTTGATATTGGCACAGCAATTGACAGATAGAATTGGGCAGTGCAGTGGTCCTCAGTGGGGTGTACATTTGCTCCCCCCCGGCCCCCGACGCAGGGACATTTGGCAATGTCTGGAGACATTTTTGGTTGTCACAACTGGGGAAGGTATCTCTTGGTAGAGGCCAGGGATGCTGTTAAACATCCTACAATACAGAAGACAACGCTCCACAGCAAAGAATTATCCAACCCAAAATGTAAATAGTGCCAATGTTGAAAAACCCTAGAACAAAAAGAGAGTCTAGGGGCGCCTGGGTGGCTCAGTCATTAAGCGTCTACCTTCGGCTCAGGTCATGATCCCAGGGTCCTGGGATTGAGCCCCGTGTCAGGCTCCCCGCTCAGCAGAAAGCCTGCTTCTCTCTCTCCCTCTGCTGCTTCCCCTTGCTTGTGTGCTCACTCTCGCGCTCTCTCTCTCTCTCTCTGTCAAGTAAATAAATAAAATCTTAAAAAGAAAAAAGAGAGAGAGTCTAGAAACAGATTAATTAAAATACAGGAATTTGAATAAAACATCTAATTTTTTTTTTTTAAAGATTTTATTTATTTATTTGTCAGAGAGAGAGAAAGATCACAAGCAGGAAGAGTGGCAGGCAGAGGGAGAAGCAGGCTCCCCGCGGAGCAGGGAGCCCGATGTGGGGCTCGATCCCAGGACCCTGGGATCATGACCTGAGCTGAAGGCAGTCGCTTAACCAACTGAGCCACCCAGGCGTCCCAAAACATCTAATTTTTTTAAATAAGGGGAAAAATTGGCAAATTTGCCTTCATCAAATGCAAATAGTCATGAAATAAAAATAAAACGGGTGCCTGGGTAGCTCAGTCAGTTAAGTGTCCAACTCTTGATTTCAGTTCAGGTCATGATCTCAGGGTCATGGGATGAAGCCTGAGTGGGCCTCAGTGCTCAGTGGGGAGCCTGCTTAATATTCTTTCTCTCCCTCTGTTCCTCCCCACCCCACTCCCTCTCTCTCTCCCTCTCTCCCTCTCAAAAAAAAAAAAAAAAAGACATCATACATAATGTTATAAAACAAGTGATGGACTGCAAGGATATTATAAATGTAAAGATAAATACACACATGTAAACAATCGTCATTATTCACAGAGTTGATATTTGCAAGTTTGTCTGCTTGCTAAAATTTATCTGTAACCTCAAAATCAATACTTGCAGTGCTTTTGAGGTCATTTGTGGATGTGGACATGTGAAGAGCAGCAAAAAATTTGAGTTGCCCTATCACATACATTCCCAGCTGAGGTTAAACAAGTCTACACTCTGCCTTCTTGTTTTCAGCTCTCATACTGTAAACAAGTGTCTATTTAGTGCCATGTTTTTTGCATTTTTGTGATTCTTGTTAACTTCACTGTTTAAAGTGGCCCCCAGGGGCGCCTGGGTGGCTCAGTTGGTTAGGCGACTGCCTTCGGCTCAGGTCATGATCCTGGAGTCCCTGGATCGAGTCCCACATCGGGCTCCCTGCTCGGCAGGGAGTCTGCTTCTCCCTCTGACCCTCCCCCCTCTCATGTGCTCTCTCTCATTCTCTCTCTCTCAAATAAATAAATAAAATCTTCAAAATAAAAAAATAAAAAAATAAAGTGGCCCCCAAATGTAGTGCTGAAGTATTCTCTCCTGTTCCTAAGCATAAGAAGGCTGTGATGTACCCTGTGGAGAAAATACATGTGGTAGATAAACTTTGTTCAGGCAGGAGTTATAGTGCTGTTGGTCATGAGTTCAATGTTAATGAGTCAATAATATATACTAAACAATGTGTCTTCAAACAAAACACACAAACAACAAATTTATGTATTGGTCAGTTGACAAAACTGTTGTGACCAGAGGCTCACAGGCACCTAACCTTGTATTTTCCCTAGGAGCAATGATTCAGCATTCATTAATTCAGTGTTTGTGGTAACTTTATAGAATATAACTACTGTGAATAATGAGAATCAACTATATATAAAATAGAGATGAGGCTGATATCCAGAATATATAGGCACATCTTTAAACAAATGAGGAAAACGTAATTTACAAAAAAAGAAATACAAATGCTCAACACATATGAAAAAATGCTGCTCAACCCTACTAATGAGAAGAATGCGGGGCATCTGGGTGGCTCAGCTGGTTAAGTGTCCAACTCTTGAGTTCTGCTCAGGTCATGATCTCAGGGTTGTGAGATTGACCCTTGTGTTGGGCTCTGCACCAGGTGTGGAGCCTGCTTACGAGTCTCTCTCTCCATCTTCCTCTGCCCTGACCCCCAATAAAGAAAGAAAGAAGAATCCAATTTAAGGATGATGTAACTTTTTAATTTTTTTTAAAGATTTATTTATTTTAGAGAGAGAGAGAGAAAGATGTATTTATTTGGGAGAGACTGAGAGAGAAAGAGAGTATGTGCACAAGTGGGGAGGGGAAAAGGAGGGGAAGAGAGTGAATCTTCTAGAAGACTCCCTGCTGAGTGCTGAGGGTCACTCAGTGGGCTCGATCTCACAACCCTGAGACCATTACCTGAACCGAAATCAAGAGTTGGACACTTAACCCACTGAGCCACCCAGGCGCCCCAATTATATAACTTTTTTAAACAATTACATTGGCGGGGTGCCTGGCTGGCTCAGTCAGAGGAGCATGCAACTCTTAATCTTGGGGTCATGAGTTCAAGTCCCACATTGGGGGTAGTGATTACTAAAAAAAATAAACTTAAAAAAAATCAATTACATTGGCAAAAGTCCCAAAATGGATCATATTAATAGTGAGAAATTGGGGTGTGAGGAATTGATACTGTCATATGCTACTGGTAAGAGTATAAATTGGCACAACCACTTTGTGGACCAGTTTGGCAATACCTATTTAAACTAACAATATCTATACCCTATACCCCATAATTCCACTTCTAATTATCTGCCTTAGAGAAATAGTTGCACTAGGAGAAGACTTGTACAGAAAGATCCATGATAGCTTGTCATATTTAAAACAAACTAAATGTCCATCAGTAGAGGAATAATGAAATATGATATCACAGTTAAAAAGAATGAACTAATTCTAAATAGACCACCTCATTTGCTCTTCACAGTAACTGGGCAGAGTATAGATCTTATTACTATGCATTTTACAGGTGAGGATTTTGCAGACGGGGACCCAAAGTCACCTAGTGAGTGAGTGACAGAGCCAAGTCAGCCTTACCTGCTCCTTTGTCTCCTTATCCCTGTGCTGTGACAGGGAAGTCCTCACTGTGTACCAGACGCTGAAACTTGACATGCACGATCTCATCTCATTTTCCCAACTATCCCAGTGCGGTAGATATTATTGCCCCCCGTCTTACAGATGCAAAAGGCAGGTGTCAGGGAGGTTAGAT